GCCCGCGTCTTCTTCCTTTCCTCAGAACGAAGAACCCTTGGATCTGATCTCATCTGCTCAGACCACTCTATTTATTTGGTTGGTCTATTTTGGTTCAGATCCGAACCGGATCTAAGTTGGTCCAGATTTGTTTCAGGTTAGACCTATTCGTATCGTCAGATCTGCTGAAGCATAGTTATAGTCCAATTCTGTTGGCAATTGGTGCATGGCTGATCCTGACGCTGAAGACCACGATCTTGTGCTTGACCCAGAGACTGGTATTATTGATTTGCAGCTTTCCCCGTGGTTCGATTACCAGACGTTCGAGAGTGTTCCTGAATACGTCGAACATTTTCATCCGGATACACCACTTCATCCTAACTACGTCGCCCTCGGTGGAGAACTCCCACCCCTCATATTTGGCGTCGTCGAACAGCCTCCGGAGGATCCTCTCATCGAACCCGTTCAACCCGACAATGGTTTAACTCTCTTTCGTCCAAATATTTTTGGAACTGCTGTTGCATGCATGTTGTTATCAATATTATTATCGATTGTGCTTGTGTTGTATTCAGTTTGATGAGTGAGCGAGCGATTCAATTGCCAAGTACATTTACTAGTCTAAATATTACAAATTGAACCGTATTAAGAGAACAAATCATTACATTTATTTTCTGGATAATTTACAAAAGGGTTTGAACTTAGTACATTGCACTTTTGCTTAAAAACCATCGAAAGCTACACTTTATTCTTGAGATTCCTGCCTAGATCGATCGCTGATTTGACGAAGGTTTAACTCTCTTTCGTCCAAAAATTTTCGAAACTGTTGTTGCATGCATGTTGTTATCAATATTATTATCGATTGTGCTTGTGTTGTATTCAGTTTGATGAGTGAGCGAGCGATTCAATTGCCAAGTACATTTGCTAGTCTAAATATTACAAATTGAACCGTATTAAGAGAACAAATCATTACATTTATTTTCTGGATAATTTACAAAAGGGTTTGAACTTAGTACATTGTACTTTTGCTTAAAAACCATCGAAAGCTACACTTTATTCTTGAGCTTCCTGCCTAGATCGATCGCTGATTTGGCGAAGCATTGTTGTCGTTAATCTTCATACCTGCATCACATTATTTCGCATCACAGATTCTGACATATTATATATGTAAATCGCCTATCTCGATGAGACGGAGCCAACTAGATTGTCAAATTTTTAAAATCTCATCAGTAATATCTAATTTTGGCTGAAATCCGAAAATAATTAGCTTTTAGTTTATTTTTAGCAATAAAGTTTGAGTCTATTTAGATTAGAAAATAAATTTAATTTTAGAGTCAAATTAGATTAGGAAACAAATTTAATTTTAATTCATGATTTGTTTCCTTTATTGTAGGGAGTCTTTTTAGGATAGAATTTGATACTTTCTATTTCTTTGTAATTCTAATTTTACTAAGAGTCTTATTTGTTTTTCTATTTAAGAAGAGTCGTGTAACCCCAAAGGAGAATAATAACTTTTGATCAATAAAATTTCTCTTTTCGATATTTTCTTCGTGGATTCGAAAATTGTTCTTTGTGGATTCAGAAAACGCCATTAGTGGATTCTGAGACTATCACTTGGTGGATTCTAAGGGCGTTCTCTGAATCCACAAAGAACAATTTTCGAATCCACAAAGAACTTCGAATTCACGAAGAAAATATCGAAAAAAAAAATTATTGATCAAAAGTTATTATTCTCCTTTGGGGTTACATGACTCTTCTTAAATAGAAAATTAAATAAGACTCTTAGTAAGATTAGAATTACAAAGAAATAGAAAGTATCAAATTCTATCCTAAAAGACTCCCTATAATAGAGGAAACAAATCATGAATCAAAATTGAATTTATTTCCTAATCTAATTTGACTCTAAAATTAAATTTATTTCCTAACTCCAACTTTATTGCTAAAAATAAACTAAAAGCTAATTATTTTCGGATTTCAGTCAAAATTGGGTATTACTGATGAGATTTTAAAAATCTAAAAATCTAGTTGGCTCCGTCTCATCGAGATAGGCGATTTACATATATAATATGTTAGAATCTGCCTTCTGGACTGGAAGATGTGATTGTTTCTTTCCGAAAGTTAATAATATGTATAAGTTTATATTTAGCTCGTGATTGGCCAAATCCTCCATGAAATTGTCTGTTAAGCGTATTGCATCACATTCAGTGGCCTATGTATATTCTAGAGGCACAATTGCACCATTAAAATTTTTAAATTTGCATCTATAATGTTGTAATGCTTACAATTTACCCCGCCATAAATTTTTAAAATTGCACCCAAGACCCAAGCTATCCAAAAATACTAAAGAAATTAGTAACAAATTTGACTTAGCCCATTGGAATGTAGAAGCCCCAATAAAAATTCTAAAAATAAAATATATGGATATGCATTCCCACTGGGAACTACAGTCTTATAATATTATATTTTTATTTTTAGTTAAATAGACAATTGTTCTCTGCGTCCCTAAGTAAAAAATTTTGGATCCGCCGCTGCTACCATTGATCACGAAGATGATTACGGTGACGGAGAAAACACTAGTATGGAGTATGAGTGATGCTTTTTGTAGTTCATAGTGTGGAGTTCTGGTTTGTTCGTTCAGGCGGAGGTTGTTATGGCTCTCTCTTTTTGGCTATTGATATTTTGCTCAGATTGGGATTCTCATAAGTAGCCTCTTACAGTAACAAGTGTTTTGACTTCTATAACTTTTGCCAAAGTCT